AAAAGTGCCCATGAACCGATTCGAACATTGGACAAGGTTCAAGGGCACGGGACAAACTGATGGCAGGAAAATGCATTGAGGGTTCAGTTCAGAAAGTCCCTGAGCTGAACAAAAAGCAGAGGAAGGCTTCAGGGGATATGTTATGTACATTTTCCCAGCCCTTTACACTTCTACAAGCAGCTGCTCGTGGCCATGGTTTGGAGCAGGGCACCGGGAGGCAGACCTTTCCCTGACACCTTACAGCCACCCTGAAACTCATTAAAGAATATAAGTCCATCTTTCTTCAAGTTGCTTTAGAAGAAAGCTTTTCCTTCAAGCATTTACTTCATTACTCCTAAGACAATTAAAGGCAGAAGAGTAGAAATAACCCTTTGCGACTGGAGAATAAATCAAAATATATCCTCGTGCATATTGCTACAGCCTAACCCCACCACAAATAAGCCCGTACCCCACAGCTGGTTCCTATCTGCTTTAGGGAACGCAGAGGAGAAGCACAGCTGTGCAGAGACAAATAAAGAGATGGTGCTTTCTCCACCCTTGGTTACGGGAATAGCTTTGAGCCAGAGCTGGTTGGGGGAATTCTGCTGGAACTGTGTTCTGCTGAAATATGCAGTTCCACTCCACTCCAGTCGAGCTGTCTAGCAGAACGAGATGGGTCTGCCAGGGTTTTATTTGGAAAGAAAAATGAGGGGAGCGGGAGAGAAGTTGGATTGTCAAAACATCCCATCCTATTAGCCTTGAAATGAAGGTTTTCTGTTTTAATCACTTTTTGCTGTAACTTTTTGCATTACAATAGAGAATGTCAAAAGTTCCTACTGATGCTGGATGCTTCTTTTGACAGTACTGTATTTTACTTTTGTGGCACGTATAATTTTTTTTTTTTTTTTTTTTTGTGAGTTTATCCAAATGGATTGCCCTGCATCCAAATTGCTCCGCTGTCTTGCACTGCAAGGACGTGTTTGCAGATGCAGTTTGACTGAAGCAAAATCTGTACATTGGAGGGAGGGGTAGGAAACCACCGAAGCAAAACAAGCAAAGTTATCCCTGCTTGTATCCTTCACGTGCATGAAGCAGAAAGGGCTGCCGCCAAGGCCAGGGAGGCAGCAGTATAAAAACAACCCGTGCATGGACAGAAGCACGCAGAGTGAAATGCTAGAGATATGCGGGCTCGTGCTTGGATAAATCATCTCTGGTTATCAGTAACAGATGCCTGAGCTGAGGTTGGGGCCTCACTGCATGATAGATAAAGGACAACCGCTATCAGGAGCAGCGCTTCAAAGTTAGCCCTGGCAAACCTAAATTAGGGTAACAGTAGCCTGAGGCCTCCCTACAAGGAGAAGCGGGGGTGTCCGGAGGACTACTTGGCCCATCAATAAGTGGGTGCCCCTTGGGAGGTTCCCCATTTGCTCATCAGATGTGATGCTGAAGGCCACACGGCAAAATTCGCAGGGCCTCCATGTGGTGGCCACCAAAGCTCCCGAGGGTCGCAACGGCCTTGTGAGATATGTGCTCACCACCGGCTGAGCTTTGGGAACCAATGGCATGGGGCAAGTTCCTCCCCTGTCACAGGCTTATTAGGGGATACTGGTGTTAAGTGGGATGAGCCCAGGTTTGCCCAGGTCACTGGGGAGTTCCCATTAATGGTGTTAGTGGCTTTGTGCCCCTGGAGGACAACGGAGGCAGATGGAGACCTGCTGGGGAACGGGATCTGGCAGTTCAGGCTAAAGTGGAGAATGGAGATCTCTAGGATTGTTGTTCTGCATATTCGACCAGCGCTGAATTCACTTGAAAAGACAACAACTGCCTTCGGGGGGATGAGGGTGTGGAAAGTTGGCAGCTTTCACTCCCCAGAAAAAGGCATAATGAGAGCCAGTGGCTGGAAGCTGATGCTAGGGAAATTCACATGTGAAACAGGGAGCAAATTTAACTAGGTGAACAATTAAACATGGGAGCAAATTATTTCTGAAATGACGGATTTTGGAACTACATGAGTCACTATGTTTTTAGTTCAGCCAACAAACCAAAAATACTGAAAAATCCCACGTTTGGCTCAGCCTGAAGCAAAGTGAGATTTTTTCCCCTACTTTTTCCTGCTTCAGCAACACCAAAAATTAATATTGAATTAAATAAATTAATATTGAATTAACTTTTTTTCTCTTCCCAGGGACAAAACCTTTTGATTCCATGGAGGGTCCTCTAACAAAAGCAAGCGACCAGACTAATAGGTAACATTTAAGTGCCATTCTCCAAAGTAGCATGGCAAAAGCAGTACCTTCTCTCTTCCTCAGCAGCCTGGTGAGTCAAGTGCTTGCCCAGAGTGTGGCCACAGATCAGTGCTTCCCTCCATCTCAGGACACTTGTCCAGTGTTGTTTTGGGATGCCGCCCACATCCTCATTGGGAAAGATTTGCTCTGTAGAGGCGAACAGCAGCTGGTGGCAGACCACAGGGTAGGGAAAGCAATAGGAAGACCAGGGAGATGGAGGAGGTGATATTTGGGATATGGGAGTGGGAGAGAGGAGGCAGCAGCTGTGAAGTCTGGCTATAAAAAGGTCGGGAGCTGCTGCAACGGGTCCTCTGGGGGGGAGGTCTCTGTCCTTATTGATGCCGTTCTAAATATGTCTTGGAGCTGAGATTGCAGCCAGGTTTTCTCTGTCACCACCAGACTATAGTAGTTCTCTCTTTTGCTTTCCATTTCCCAAGACATCAGCCCCAAATTTCTCTGACTTGGGGATGACCAAAAGCACATCAGTTAGTGGATAAATGCTTCATGCTCTAAAATGCCCAAGTTCCTCATTTTCTCTTTTCTCATTCAGGAACAGATGCTTCTTGGAAAGAGGAGATCTTGTCTGACTGGCAGGCTTGGTGCACGCATTTGGGAGGCTCTTGGTTTAGGCCAGAAATGAATAGCTTCTCTATACTTGGAGGCCACCTTTGTTCCCAGCAGAGGTTTGGAGGCCACCACACTGACAGCAGTGTTTGCATGATGCTCCGTCTAACAAAAGAACCCTGCCTGACCCAATTACGGCTGAATTCCCCTACTTCCAAAACAGGCACAGCCATGTGCTCAACCTGCTTGGCTTGTATTCCCTAAATCCATGGCATAGCCCCGGGCGGGAACAGAGTAATGCTCCCATCTGCCCTCAGAGGCAGACGTAGGGCTGAACATGCCAGTGGAGGAGAACTCTTGCATAGATGCCTTCCTTTTGCAGGTCAGCTCATCTCTTTGTCCATCAAGGCTGCAGTCTTGTCCCCACAGCAGAGCTGTGGGGTGAATACCCATCACGCTCCAGGCTCAGCTGAGCCCATACCCGGTGCTGACAGTACAAAGGGAAATAAAGTTTCTCTAAAGAAATTTACCCTATGGCTGGGGATGTTCTTACCATCAGGTCCTTACACAGAGGTCCTTGGTGAGAGGGTTAATTTTACCTCCTAAAAATACCTTGGGGTCAATTTAGAGCAGGTTGCTTGAGGACTTGCGCAGGTGAGTTTTGAATACATTCAAGGATGAAAATGCCCCCATCTTTAAGTTCCTGCTGCAATGTCTGACCACCTTCATGGTGAGTTGAAAGGTCTCCCCTTCTCAAGGATGAACAAGCCCCACACTTACCCTGTCCACCTGCGTCCTCTACTCCAAATCTGACCAACTCAGTGGGCTATGCTGGACTTGCTCCGTATACCCATGTCTGTCTTGTACTGGTCAGCTCAAACTGGACCCAGTAAGCAGAGAGGGTCTCACAAATGCTGAACAGAGGAAAAACTCCCTGTCCTCGACTGCCTGGCTGCGCTCGTGCTGATACAATCCGTGACATAGTTTTCTCCTCCACCCCTGAGCTGTCAACCTGTTGCAGCTATGGCTGAACCAAAGAAAGTTTGAGAACCTTTTAATGGGAGAATGGAGAGGTAAATAAAGGAATTAGTAAACAAGTTTACCACTAACCACTCTTGTCTACCTGCTGCTAGTAACCACACAGGCAGCACTGAGTCTTGAGGGCAGATCCAGAGTAGTCTTAAAGATGTACATACCTGTTTGCAGGATGGGGCCAAAACTGGTTCAGAGTCTCCTTATGTCAGCTCTTGGCAGGAGGGCAAAATGAACCCTTCGTGGCCAGCAGGTACGGCGAACGGAGGGCCTGAGCCTACACCTGAATGGCCCAGAGGTGTACAAACCAGCAGATTCCCCCCAAAGGTCAGTGGGAATATGGAACAAAAACCCAAAATTGCAGAATTTTGTCTAAAAATAGACAAGATAGAGCATATAGGTGGCAATGCTTTGAATAATGATGATGGGAAGATTGTTTCTGCTGGGTAAAGTGAATCGTATGGGGGCACACAAACTTCCCCAGAGTTTCCTTCTTTTTAGCCAAACCCAAACTTTGGCACCTACTTCCCCTCCTCCCCTCAGTTGAGGCTCTTTGAAAAAAAATACAAAAAAAAGTTCACATTGCGCTGTACCCAAGGCTGTTTAACCACAGAAATCGCACCAGCTAGACGCTAATAGATCATTTTATCCCTTGCTGTTTCTAGGGATGCAAAGGAAAAGGAGCTCTGTTCCTTTAAGCTAGCAGAAAGCTTCTTTAGATTCAGGTGGAGTCAAGCCTTCCTGGGCTATAAAGTTGCAGGGAGAGGCAGGGGCAGCAGCTGTTTTGCTTAGATCTTAGCAAGCCTCCAGTCTCACCATGGTAAGAGCATGCCTTCTATTTGTATTAGTCTAAACTTAAAATATAGACCATATATTTTCCAAGTGTACTGAGCTAAACAGCTTGCTTGCTCTTTTTCTCTCCTTTCTCTTGGGGATGTTAATTACAAACAGCTTTGTTTGATTGCTGATTACCTTATGGTTCATTGATTCAATGTTTGCTCCTTATAAGGGAAAAGTGAGGGACTTGGTTGGAGAAGAGCTATTTAAGTGGCCTCTTGTTGCTTTTCATTCTGAGTTTGCAGCTCCTGAGGTGGGGTCTGTAGGGTTGCAAAGTTTCTGTCTCTTTAATGCAAGTTGGGTTTTACTTTTTTGGGGGGGAACCAGCACATCTTGATACACAGCTATGTGATAGACTAAAGTTTAAGTTTTGACACTGCTGGCACTTTTCCCGAAGTTTAGCACTTCAACTCTCACAGTGCCACAGGGAACTAGTGCAACTTGTAGAGTCCTTTAGGGTTTTTTTATTTCCTTAGGAGTGAGCTGCCATGTTGCCTTTGTCTGCTACAAACCCTTGGGATTAGATATTAAATGAATAAAGCTCCCCTTTCCTTCTCACTTTATAATTGAATCTTTGCTCTAAAGAGTTCACAGCTGTGAAACTGAAGTGGATTGATCTGATTACTAAAAAACTGCAACTCTGAACAGTGCTGGCTGATGTAGCTGAAACTTTTTGTAAAGAATAACGCAACTGTCACCTTATTGGGAATGCAAAAAAAAAAGTAACATGCTGGAAAATCTGATGGTGTCCCTTTGCATGTTGCAAATGGAAGGAAACTTCAAAGTAACTCCTAGCGAGTCAGCTTTTTGAACTTTTCCTTTTATCTGCTGACTTCTAGAGTCTGTCTTCGCTATAAAACAGTTAAACGTTTACATGGTATTTCCAATGGGAAAATCAGCTGGACAACAATAGGCTGCCTATAGCCAGAGTCTGTAAAATGCAGTTCATCTTGATGTAAATGTCGGAGACCTGGGATCTCAAAAAAACCTGCTGGCATATTTTAGAGGCGGGGGGGAACCTGCAGAAAAAAAAAGCTGCACTTTTTCCCTTCCAGCAGGCCCCTCTTGTATAATTTTTTTTTTTTTTTCTTTTTCTTTTTTTTTTTTTTTTTTTTTTTTGTTGTTCCCATTCCCTGTGCTCTGGGCTGAAAATACCAGTGCTCCCTTGAAGCAGGTGCTGGGACTAGGGAACTGGGAGAGGATAGTGAGTGGAGCAGCTGTCCCAGCTTGCGCTGGCGAAGTGGCCGTGCCGCTGACCCTTGCAAATTGTGGTGAGGAGCTATTGCAACCATCTTGCGGAGAGGGATGGGCAAATGGCAGTCAGCATTTCCCACATAGTGCAAATATCAACTCAGAGAGGGAGGACTTAAACACAGCCTCCACGCCCAGCAGAACTGGTGGTCTCAGCCCAGACTGGGATTAAGTGGTGTTTAGCCAGCTGTGGGTAAAGGGGTTGGTGTCCCTCTGTGGTACCAGGAGCATTCATCCAGTTGGTGTCTAGCTTTACAGTGGATGACCTGGGCATGTGGTGGCTATCGGAGTTGCTTGATGGCTGAGAAGTATCGTGGGACATCTGTGCTTGGAGACTAAGAGGGGAGAAGTTGCATTGCATCTTTCTCCTCATGGCTACTGCCTCGAGTACTTGGTGCCCTGGACTGTCTAACATTACTTAGAGGGTAGTGACTTTCAAGGGACAGCGTCCCTCTGGTAGGATAGTTATGCCTAGGGTTGTGCACACACAGAGTGTCCTCTCAGCCCTGAGACAATTGGGTTGTCAGTGGCGTTTGTTATGCTCTGCTCAAGGTGGGCTACTCGGAGTAGGGGAGCTGGGCTTATCTGTGGAGAACCCCAGCTCTGGGTAGGACTGGGCGGTGGTGTGAAAAGAACCCAACTGCTCAACAATGCTACAGATAATGGGATCAGCCGCACTGCTTGCCATCCCCAGGTGGGATCACCGGTTCCCTTTCATGGTGATCCTTTGAGAAGCAGCACCGCCCCGTGCCATGCATGGCAGTAATTGGGAGTCTCTGCTTGGGCGCTGAGACATGAGCCTCTGTCATCGCTGCAGCAGTGCTTTGATCTTAGGGTAGTGGAAACAGCAGAGAGGCCAATTACCCAGGGAAGCATGCAACCATCAAAAGTCCCCAAAGAGTCTCCAGAAGACACCAGTACCTCCAATACTGCCCTGGAGTTAGTTAGAGGCTCCTGGAGGGTGACCTGGTTAAATAAGGACTCCGAGCCTCTCCCCAGGTGTCAGCCTGCCCTTGTTTTGGCCCCAGGCAACTGCTGGTTTCCTCCAACCTTGTTTCCCACTGTGACTCCCAGCTTGGCTCTGGGTTTCCCAAGCTTGGCTTCTCCCTGCTTGGTGCAGAGCTATTTTTAATGAAGGAGCCCAGAGCTGTTGTCCCTGATGCCCTGCTTCTCTGGGACCCAGGGGACTGACAGCTTGTCCACTCCATGGCAGGGCCAGTCGAGCACTGAGCGAGGAGCCAGTGCTGCTCAGCTGCTTCCTGCCTCAGTGTGAAGCCCATCACCTCCTTCCTTCCTCCTCCCCTGGGCTGGGAGAGCCCTTCCTAGGGATGCTATGTCTGCGGCTCGGCTGTGTCCAGCTGCCCAGCAGATCATGGTTTGATCCTCGCTCCAACTCCCGGCGGTGGGCGGAAACTGCCTGTTTCCCTCATCATCCGCAGTAGCAAATGGCTCAAACAAGAAGCGTGGGGGCTAGTGCTCAGTCACAGGATGTCTAAAAATCGCCTTAACAAGCCATTTCCCCTTCCAGAGGGAGTGCATTTCCATCCACATCGGGCAGGCTGGCGTGCAGATGGGCAATGCCTGCTGGGAGCTGTACTGCCTTGAGCACGGGATCCAGGCGGATGGGACGATTCCTGGCCCCAAGCAGGTGAAACCTGTGGAGCTGAATTCCGAACAAGTGGATTCTTCTTTTGAGACCTTCTTCTGTGAGACAGCATCTGGGAAGCACGTGCCCCGAGCAGTGTTCATAGACTTGGAGCCCACTGTCATCGGTAATAGTGGGGTAGCTGGGTGTTGTGGTATCTTTAACCATGATTCCTGATCCTTTTTTCCTTGGAGCTTCTGTTGCTGCCCATATTGCCCAGCAGCTCTCACTCCTCTGCTCTAGTAAATTGTCTCCAGCCATCAGAAGGAGACAGAGTTTGCATTTCCAAATGGACCCAGGAGTGACAAACCCATTACTCTTATTATACTGACTTGTCTTTAGTTGATCCCTCCTTTCAAGAGACCTGCTGTCTCGAGCAGGCTCCTCAGCGGGTATAAAGTGGCATGGGTTTATCAACCTCAGTGGTTCTGAACTGAATTACACCATCCTATTACCTGATGTGGCACATCTGGTTTTAATACTACCCGTGAAGCATCTTTGGGCAGATGGGTGCCACAAATGTCATGGTTCTCTGGAAACTGGGTGTCTTGCTACTGCAAGCTGTCTACTTCTCCTTCCACCTCCATTAATGATCTCTGGGGGTTTTACTTGATCATGGCACTTTAATTTGATTTAGAGTACCTTCCTAGAAATCAAATTCTTTTTTTGCTCGAGGAACTGGTGGAAATTACTCCCAACCACCTGCATCCATCTACCTGCTTCTGCCTTCTAGGCTTTTTCTGGGTGTTTGCCCCTATCTTATCATCTAGGATGTCTGACTCATTATTTCATGTAATGGAAGGAATGTAGACTTTTGTTTTGGTTCCACTTAATTTTTAGGCACCTTATCAAGGCACTAAATTGGCAACTTGGTGAGCAAGCCAGTAGAATATGAAATGTATCCAATATTGAGACTAAGTGGGTTTACATACCCGCTGGAGGTGTCTCCGACCACATTGACTGTGTGGAGCCTAGAGAAACTGCTCCTAATACCTGTCTTCCTAAGGTGCCTGAAGCTGGGTTGGGTACACCTAGCAGACATGTCAACATTGGGGGCACTCTGTCTCCTCTTCAGTGTGCTGTTGAGCAGAGGATGGAGGAGGTAGTGCTTCCAGCCACCTCCAGATGCTTTGCAACGAGCAGAAACACAAGATGCATGTGGTAACTGTAATCCTGCAATAATGTTGGAAATACAGGCGGTGTCCTAACTCTTTAAACCAAAGTACATTAGGATCTCAAAGTGGCTGCTGGGCAAAGATGGAGGAGGTATAGTAGGACCTTGACAAATTAACCTGGACAGGGTTATTCTTACCCCTTCCTTATTCCCAGTCTGAACTAACCATGCCACGACTGTCATCTCACATGGGCTCCTGTTAGATTTGCTACGTGTTTTACTCTGTCACACTAATGTCTAGAACCTGTAACTGTGTGCTGCTCTTCATGACTGCTCCTCCTTGTGTAGATGAGATCAGGACTGGGCCCTACCATGCGCTTTTCCACCCTGAGCAGCTCATCAGTGGCAAGGAAGATGCTGCCAACAACTATGCCCGCGGCCACTACACCATTGGAAAGGAGATTATAGACACTGTCCTCAGCAGAATTCGTAAAATGGTAAGAAAAAAAACCCAGTCTTTCTCTTAAATGACACACCATGAACAATACAATTAAACTTTAGGTTCGGGGTAAAAGTCTTAAAAGAAAAAACACTTTATGTGAGCTCCAAGGGCTGCTGCTGCTGTGATTAGGTTTGGGGCTCAGTAAAGCAAGAGGCCCTTTGAACCTGTGTATCTGCCCTAAAAGCAACAGTCATTACATATCATGTATGTGTGAAGTGGCACAACACGAGACCTAAGGGATAGAAGAGAAGGACTTTTGATCACAGGGAAACCACACCCTGGTTGTGCAATTGCGGGTATTAATTTTAAATGGACAATTGGTAGCCAGGGTGGGTAGACCAAACTCCACATTTGATAGGTGTGAAGCAGGATTGTAACAACGTCCTCGGTTGCCTGACAGTGAAATGTTTTTGAGATGTTGCCTGAGAGTTTAGGACCCACATGCTACCTCCCATCCCTTCTCAGGCACGGAGGTATTCACTGAGCTGCTAATGGAGCGATTTGCCAAGAGGTTCCATCCTACCATGCAGAGCTACCTATGGCAGCTCCATGGAAATGCTGCAGTTGATTAACAAGTATATTTAAGATGCTTAGGAGGGTGACATACTGAGTGAATCCACTCTAGGGATTGGGTGCACTCTGGCCAGTAAGTGCTTTAGGCAGAATTGATGACTTTATTAATTGGGGTAGTTATTCCACTCCTCAACAGAGAGAGGTAAATATACATTATTCTGCTGCAGGCTGACCAGTGCAGTGGCCTCCAAGGGTTCCTGGTCTTCCACAGCTTCGGGGGAGGCACAGGCTCCGGGTTCACCTCCCTCCTCATGGAGAGGCTCTCTGTGGAGTACAGCAAGAAGTCCAAGCTGGAGTTCTCTGTGTACCCAGCCCCACAGGTCTCCACAGCAGTGGTGGAGCCCTACAACTCCATCCTCACCACCCACACCACCCTGGAGCACTCGGACTGCTCCGTGTCCTCCATCACGGCCTCCCTGCGCTTCGATGGGGCCCTGAATGTCGACCTGACGGAGTTCCAGACCAACCTGGTGCCGTACCCCCGCATCCACTTCCCACTGGCCACCTATGCCCCTGTCATCTCGGCCGAGAAGGCTTACCATGAGCAGCTCTCGGTGGCCGAGATCACCAATGCCTGCTTTGAGCCGGCCAACCAGATGGTGAAGTGTGACCCGCGGCACGGCAAGTACATGGCATGCTGCCTGCTGTACCGCGGGGACGTGGTGCCCAAGGATGTCAATGCCGCCATTGCCACCATCAAGACCAAGCGCAGCATCCAGTTTGTGGACTGGTGCCCCACTGGTTTCAAGGTGGGCATCAACTACCAGCCGCCCACGGTGGTGCCCGGGGGGGACCTGGCCAAGGTGCAGCGTGCCGTGTGCATGCTGAGCAACACCACGGCCATTGCCGAGGCCTGGGCCCGCCTGGACCACAAGTTTGACCTGATGTATGCCAAGCGAGCCTTTGTGCACTGGTACGTGGGGGAAGGCATGGAGGAGGGGGAGTTCTCCGAGGCCAGGGAGGACCTGGCTGCCCTGGAGAAGGATTATGAGGAGGTTGGAAGGGACTCAGCAGATGGAGAAGAAGATGAGGCTGATGAGGATGAGTATTAACAAACTGCAGTCTGTTCTTAATGAAGTCAAACCTCAGATGAAATACAAACCCGCTGTCATCAGGCTAAACTGGTCCTGAGTGCCTGGAGGTGCTAAAGGATTATCCTGAACCTCAGTGCTACTGTTTGACGTATTATACCTTTTCTGCTTGCATAGTCTCTGTGCTCATAGCGCACTTCTGTAGCATGGGCGTCTCAAGCTTTATCACGCTGCTCTTTATCGATGAGTGAAGCTGAATAGGTGCCTGGCTTAGTGCTGGGGGCGCATCCTGCCTGGGCAGAGGATCCTGGTTCCTAGTCCAGGGGAATGTGGCAAGCTGCCTGCTTTGGCTGGAATGGCAAACTCTTGCTCTGGCTTTTACTGTAAAAGCACCTTTTAATTAGAAATGTACCTGTACACTTCTATGCAACCCTTTTGTATTTGAATAAAGACTTTTTTTTTTTTTGCTTTGAGTTCTTTGGATTTAATCAGGTTGTTTGTGTGGGGAGGTCCCTGCTGCATGGGTGCTGTCTTGGGGAGAAGAGCAAATGGTGATAAGGGTGTGCTCTGGGTAGGCCATCTGTGAGGATCATCAACCATAATTATTGCTGTGAGGAAAACGTCCTATATCCTGCAGGCAATTGACTGTCTGGAGCTGGATGCTGTTCTTCTGACCCTGAAGAGCAGCCCAGAGGAAGTGTGTTTGAGAGCAGTCAGGGAATCCCCGTTTGACCAGTGCCAAGTGGGGGCTGGTGCCTGGGTAAAGAGCACCTTTCTGGTAGGGTTTTGCCTCTCACTGTCTCTGGTGAAGCTGACTTGTTGCCTGAGCAAGTCCTGGCTGTTGGGGCAGTGCTGTAGCTCTGGGCTGGGGTCTCTGGAGCTGTTTGAGTTGGTGTGAGTGTGAAACCAGCCCCATGTGCCTGGGGTTGGAGTTTGCCCTGGGGAGGTGAGCCAGGTCCATGTGATGGGGTGACTCAGGAGGAAAAGCAATGAAATACCCATGATAAGATATGGAGCGGGAGGGTTCATAAGCCTGTGGGACGGGAGAATGGCTGGATCCATACTGCACTGTCTCTGGGTGCCCTGCACATTGGTGTTGCATTATGCTTTGTGTTTGTTGTGTGCCACAGTCCCACCTCCACCCCCTGTAGCTATAGCCACCCTCTCCCCTGATGGGGGTATGATTCCAGAGGTGTTCCCAAAGTAATGTGCTGGAAGGTACAGCCAGGGATGGTTTGAGGGATGGGGAGGTGTTGCTGTGTCCTATACTTGGGAGACAGATGTGGGAGGACCCCAGAGCTCATTGTTGGTTGCTGTTAGCCCAGAAAGCAGGACTGGGTGGCAGCT